ACGTATGGCATCAGTGACTGGCGGTTTCAAGGATAACAAGCATAGTTCTTTCCGTCGTATAATGTCTTCGCTCGCGATTTGTTTAGCAATTTGCGAGTCCAAAATAGTAGGTTGAAGACTAAGCTCGTCTGGCCAGTTTCTGTTAAATGTTCGACGAACCACGGAAATGGGTTTGCAGAAGCAGTTTAAAGCCTACTTGATAATGGTGTCACTGTCATTTGCTAACTTTACCAAGTGTATGGCATTTGCCTTTCGCTAGGACTTTGCAGTTTGCCAGTGATCTTCAATCTCCTCGCAAAAGATCCTCCAAGCCTATCTCTGCTGCGACCTAACTTGTTTTTCGAACACTCGCAATTATTTGGTAGTAAGAGAGTCTACTTTGGTTCTGGTTCTTTTAATTTTGTGCAAAAACATTTTTTCGCCGTTCTCGCAGATCACCCAGCTCTTGGTTCCATCATTTTATGTCTGGCTTCCTGAGGCTATTTGTGGAGATTATGTTTCAAAAGTTTTCACTGAGGCAGTCTGTAGGCCGAACATGCGGCACTTTAGTTTGCAGTTGTCAGTGATCAAATCCCCCTCCACATTCTGTAGATTCACTAATTCACTCTAAGTTATTTCAGGAACTCATTACGATCAGTTCTGCGGGTGGGAGGAGGGGGGAGTCTCTAAAGAATGTTCTGAGTGCACTGTTTAGGATAAGTTCAAATGTAAGCTAGCAATCATCGGACATGTCTGTGTCTGTGTATAGTTTGACTTCTAGAGCTCATAAATGTTGGTTTTTATCTTGATTAAAAATATAAAGGTTGTTAATAGCCATATAATTGTAAAGTGACTGACCTCCGGCATTATGTCTTCTCCTGCCCAAAGCCACCTAGTGGGCTTCAATGTCACAACCGAGACTGACTTCCATTTCGGAATTAGCTGAATGGACATACTAAGTTTTCATGAAGGGTTTCACAAAGTTGTCGGTTTCCAGTATGGGTAATTTAAATCAAATCTTCAATCAATCTTGCATAGGTTAGAAATATTTAAAAACACTTATTTGAGGGTATCGGAGTACGTCTTTTGGCCAGTCACAAATCGAGTGCCTATAGCTCAACAGTCGTAACTACGAAGACGCACTGCTAGCTATCAAGGGTGCCTTGATACCTAAAGCCTGCGCACTACAAGCCAGGCCAGGAGTGATACCGACTGTACCAAAAGAGGGGCAAGGAAACTTGAAGGCCGTTCAACCAAAGAAATCCGCACTAAAGGCGTCCTGAACTAACTCACCATAAAAATAAATTATTAAATCGATGGTGGCAGCCATAATTTCTATAAAAGACTGCGCGAAACAGCTTTTCAAGGAACTAACCGTCGGAAGATTAGACCAACTGAAGATTTTCACCTGGAATGTCAGGGCTTTAACAGTTAGAAAACCGAACATTGAAGAACTAAGAACTATAAAATGACCATCAACATGACATCTTGGAACAGTAGCACACCAAGATGAGGGATGGGAACAATAACTTGTTCAGAAGGTAAGAGACATACCGTTTATTCGTACTCTAAAGCTCAGGTATATCGAATCGTATAAAGTTCAGAGGAAAGTCATAAATTAAATATGTGGAGTACCAAAAAGTTTTTGCATGCCTTCGTGAATGTATAACTGTAACGAGCCAAAATTGCCTAACGATTTCATGCTTGTTTTTCAGTTTTCTAGTCAAAATTCCTTTAAATTTGTTAACATTTTCTTTCTATAAAATTTCAACAATAATTACAGCAGTTGCAGATCCTATAAATTTTCTAATTTTCAATATTTAAATTCTATTTTCATTTGCTACTAGTTCTTGTGATGGCTAATGATTTTTCCTCGATTTTAATCAATATTTCAACTCAATTTCAAAATCAAAACAAATCAATATTTTGATTCCAATTTAATATTCAATTTGCCTGTAAATAAATCCATTTCTTTTGGGGTTATGTTTTCTCAACCGTTTTACCCGTTTTCAAAGTGTATTTACTCTACGTGTTCGTACTTTCGTATTCTGTTCGTTTGCTGAACTCAGAACACTTCTAGTGGAACCCGGTTCAATTATTGGTTCCATAATCTTTGATATGTGTTCTGCGCTATCCTTGCTTTCTATTTTTTGACTTTTGTAGTGTTATTCATTTTTGTCAACTGGCTGTCGATTAGAAATGTTTCTGGTATCGTCGATTCCTTTTAAGCCCTTTAATTTTGCAACACGGATCACTTACTCCATATCGTATTCTTCAAATTATAATTGTTCTATTGGATAATTCCTTGTTGTTATTATCATTATTCGTCAGCCGTTATCATTTTTCTCTGATTATATTGTTGTGTGCAATGTTTGGTAAGTAAGAATTCTATCGATTAATTTTTGACATTTGTCGTTATCCTGAATCATCTCTGAATCCCTACCTTTAGGTCAGCTAATTAATTTGATGTGTAGCACATTTCTTTCACGTTCTGGTTGCTTCGAAGAAAGGGTCTCCTGAAGAATCTAATTTTTTTCTTCGCCTTAAAAAGGGATTTTTGACCTAATTTTCTTCTTAATTGAATTTATAGCACACTAAGTTTTCTTACGTTGTGTTTAATTTTCGTGAAGTGCTATAATTTTCACCGATGATACCGGATTTGAAAACAACCATTTCGGTAAGTCTTGCTTTGCACGTTTTTTTTTTTTTTTCACAGTAGATTCTGACTTTTTCCATTTATTCATTAGTGAAAAGAGTAGAGTAACATCTCACTCACTCCAGGATATTGAATCCAGACCTCGATCCAGACTTCCAGAGTATTTTCGAGGCAAACAAAACCCTCTTTCCAACAGGTAATAACCTCAATTTTTTTTTAATGCAAACTCGAGGCACATTTTCTGTAATTACTATTAAAGCTTTATCTGATTCTTCTCTTCTAATTTAAAGGGGGTGTGTGACCCTAAAAAACAACGTGAGCTACTTAAATGAAGAAAAAAATTCTAAGATCTCTGGTGAAAACCGCAGTCCTATATTCAAAATAGTCTCCGAGAAAACTCCTCAACCAGTAGCCAGGACGAATCTACGATATCTACTACTACCACCTGGAACATTTTGGTATCGTACTAGCTTTAATTAACCTATCTATATTTTATTGTGTATTTACATTCTGTCCCTATTTTGTACGCCACAGTGATCACTATGGTATTTCAGGGAGTAATTCAGTACTTATCCTAATGTGGCAAATGAATTATTAATATAGGTAATTTAGCTAGACATAACCTGATTCTGTTGTTATTTATGTCAACTTACTGGTAGTTCTGGTTACGTCAGTGTAAGATAATCGTTCCGAGAACTAATTCTTTTTTTATTGTTTTTCTTATTTCTTTTCTTTTATATTTTCAACCCTTACATTTTATACATTTTTATTACTCAGTTGGTTATTGAGTTACAATAACACATTAGATTTTTACATATAATTCAATTTTTTATGACTATAGCTATTTTTCCAATAGTAGCCGTACTGTATTTGTTGATTGATCATTCATCAAAAGGTCACTTCATTTATTAATTAATGACAGCTCAAGTGATTGTTCTTTTTCTTAAATAGTTTTTTTCTAGTTCTTTTTTCCTAATAGTTTTCTTTGTTAATATTGAAAATTTACTTGATTATTTTTTTTTCAATAATTAATATCTCAATATATTGTTCATTGTGGACTGTGGCCATTTGGTAAATAAACTTACTATAGCACTTGATTCATTGACTTTTATTTGATTTTATGCACACAGCCTAGTTTTAGCTTTTCTTGAATATTTTTCATTTTCTTTAATATTATTTGAATTGTAAGGACCTGGAGCCAGATAACATCCTGGAGAGTCCGACTCATCTGTCCAAAGTCGGTGGCGCCTAAAACTAAAACCCACCCCTACTCTCCGAATTGTTTAATTCTGAGCTAGGGCATAATTTGCACGCACTAAAACCTCCAGTCCTGCAATCTCAAGTATCTTCAATTTCATTTTGTTTTTATTTTTATTTTTCTTTATTTTATATTTTTTTATTTTAATTTTTTTTCTTTCTAAACTTTTTAATCAGCAAAAAAGTGTGGCATAACAAGATTCCTATGTTAACTTTAGGAAATACTCGAAATACTCGAAAATATACTCGAGGGTATTCTTTGTCAACTTTGGAACGAGGTAAATATTTTGGATTATTTTGTGCAGTTCTAATCAAAAAAACGTTAGTTATGACAAATGCTTCATTTTAAAATTACTTGATTTATTTGAATAGGTACGAACAGTATTGAATTCATTGAAATTTGTTTTATCCAATTTTTGGGAACAGCACATTTTGAATGATACCTTTAGCTTTTTTATAATTCTGGTGATTTCATTTGGTGCAAAATGGCGAAGAAAAAAAAAATTCCCAAACCGTCTTGCTCTTCTTTTTTAAATGCGTAATTGAAAATTAGTATAAAGTCTGTTGTTAATGACAGCAAAGTCAAAAAAAGAATCCGGCGTGGCGCAGGGAGAGCAAAGAAAAATGAAGAGTGGTTTCTTTACGGCATTTTAATGTAATTACGCTCTTTTTGGAATTATCTTGTTTCCTCTCCTTGCCAGTCTCGGCAAATTTAATGATATTTTTTTTGACTTGAGGAATGATTTATTATTATTGGTGGACTAATTTTTGAAAAGCTTTAGATTAGATGATGGAGATAAATTTATTTGCGTAATTGTCTCAGGGTAACCGTAGCAACCATAAAAAATAATAATAAAACAGTTACGATGCATAAATTTTAAAACAAAAGTAATAAAAATGTTTTTAATGCCATCACGAAAACAAAGCGAGCATCAATAACTGAAAAAAAGGTTTTGTGGTGACGCTTTTGCTACCAAAAAGGTTTCTAATAAGGGTAAAAAAAAAGACCGAAGGAGGGGCAATAAAACCTCAAGAACGTCACTGCTCAGGATCATTAATAAATCTTCCTCAGCCAGAGACAGTAAAGTCGCAAAACAAATCTACTTACGTTTTTTGCCAGCCGTTTGACAGGACGACTGCCCTTCCACCAAGTAATAACTGCGTCCGGCCTGGAGCCCGAAGTTCGGCACTCAACCTCGTAGCGTTTGTCGGCCGAGACGTGTTTTTCCTTAGTCAGTATGCTCACACTTTGGGGTTTTACTGTAAATGAGAATGAAAAAAGGTTTCACTTAAGGTAGTAAAATAACCACAAATTAAATGTATTTCAACTTTACTCTGGGAGACATGGTATGTTCTGGATATGTGTACAAAAATTGCAGTAGCTTTGCTCGGAAGGACACTTCACGAGTTACAGTTCAAAGCACCCTCAGAAAATTGAAATAATCGGGTGCCAAATAAGATATATTACGGTTTGGATTAGAGCTCCGCCCCTTGCGTAACTTCCTTTTTTCCCAAAAATCGACAATACTTCAGTCTGTAGCATTTTCAAGGTTTGGCTATTAAAGGGGGTGTGACCCAAAAAAACAACTCAAGCTACTAAAATTTAAAAAAAAAAAATTAACATCTCTGGTGAAAACCGCAGTCTTATATTCAAAATAGTTTCCGAGAAAATCCCTTATGGAGATCAATTATGCGGGAACTTGTGACGTCACACCGGCTAACCGCTGAAATCGCAGCCTTCTGTTTGTTCCATCGAGCTTTAAACTGGGAGGGATCAACAAGCATATTTGTTTGGCTCCCTAATGAAGTAGCGGGGTCAGAGGGGTGATTTATCAAATAAACAAAACGAAAAAAGGCCCTGTTGCCGATTTTTTTTTGTTCGAATAATATTGAATATCGTCATTTAATGAAAAGTATCTATTTCAAATTTTTTTGCTTATAATACAATTAAAAATTGGCACGTTTTAAATCTTTATCTAAAATAATTCTAAATCAACAATGCCCTTTATCACCACTCCATTTGGTTTCAAAAAGAAGTACCTACCTAAAGAAAGCTTTTACAGTTTGGCAATGACGTAGTAATTGTTTTGTTTTCTCTCCTTTCTTGTGGCAGATCAGTTGGGCTGCGTTCGAGAATATGGTGTGTCGTATAAAAATCACACATGTGCCGTTCGGAAAGGCGAAGTGTTTCGGCTCTGAAGGGTGGTTGACGCGTACTAATGCGCGCACCGAACTCTCTAGTCCCGACTAGAGTAAAATTTAAGCTGACATTTTGAGGATGCACCCCCTGGAATAATTTCCACTGCAACAACCAAGTTCTCGAACGCAGCCCCCTGATGATCAAAACATAAACAGACTGGTTCATAAACATTATATTTTTATAAGTGCGAGAGAGAGGGCCTGGTCTCATTCAGGAGCCAAACAAATTCTATATAGCAAATTATTAACGTTATTGGTCTAGAGAGAGAGAGAGAGTGGTTAATGGTCGAAGGTTTGTTCAGTCATCAGTGAACCGTGCCCCCATACTTTGAGTGGTTGGAATTCGCTCTAATTGAGATCGTTGACTTTTGGAAGATTTTACATAAAGTGCCTCCGAAGCCGGTGTGACGTCACAGCCTAGGGGTTTGTCACTGAAAACCGCCCTAACTCGAAAACGGTTCATCGTAGCAAGATGCGGATTAAATACTTATCCTTAGATTTTTTTGCACTAAAACTTTAATTTTAGGGTCACACTCCCTATAATTATCAATTCTGTATTATTTTGCCGTCTGTGCTCGACAAAAAACTTCAACCGGTGTCAGGTGACTCAATAAATTCATTATCTCTTTTAAGTGTATGGAACTAATGTTGTCTAATCTTTAAAGGCAGCCAACATTAGCCATAAAACAATATATAGGATTAATTTTAAATTTGATAAAATGGACCAGTTTGGAATTATTAACAAACAACAGAATCATCACATAGTTCCAAATTACGTATTATATTTATCAATAACTTTATGTATAAATAGAGGCTCATTTCAATTAGTAAATCAGTATAAAACCTCTTCTGGTGTATTACTCACATACCACAACACCGAAGCCTATATCCAGAGTGCCAGGCTGCACTCTATACACAATACCCTTCACAGTTATAGACCCTGAGATAGGGCCTGTTTAGTGGAGTCATTTTTTTTGTCTGGCATTTTGAGGGATGAATGTGGCTAGTTAGCTGATGAGAATATAGGTGGTTTTAATGCCTGCCACCTGTTCGAAATGTCCACAGAATGTTTCGCCGGAAAACTCGACTTTGAACTGGGATTACCGTCTGGCGATTTTTCAGCGATATTTTCACAACAAAACTTTCCATTCTCTCGATTACCAGACAAAAAGTAAACGCGGAAGGTTCTTTTCTTTTCTCTTGAAAGTTGACACTCATCCCCACTTTTACAGCTATTGAAAAGCATCTGGTATTTTTCATGGGTGAATTATTTATCAATGTCAATTTTTATTTAGAAGCCAAAAAATTTGAGATCATTAAAAAAAAAATCCTCATGTAAATCAATTTTTTTCTTCTGCAAATTTTCGAACGGGAGGCAGGCATTAAAATCACTCATATTCTCATCAGCTTAGCAGCCACATTCAGCCCTCAAAATGCCAGACAAAAAAAAATTACTCCACTAAACAGCCCCTATCTCACAGTCTATTATCACCTTTAGCAGGGCACTGTGAATATACCTAGTGACAGCAAGGTAACCTTAGTCAAAAGGGGCCTTATTGTCAAAAGTTACGAGGTTATGTTCTCAAAGTAATAGGGAGTTTGTATTCGTGCAAACCTTGTCCTTCTTTGGTACTTTTATTACTAAATAGTTGAATTGGATGGGTTTGTTTTTAATGAATTGGGCCTTCTCTCTAAATATATTCTAAAATAGTAGGACAGCCCAGTACAAGTTATAATATTATAGTCAAGACTATATTTGAGAAAAAAGCCTTTCGTTACGAGTCTAGAAGCAAATCGTGTTACTTTTTGGCTAATGGTGTTTCCTAGCTAATTTGACCCCGCTGAATTCAAAAATGCCTGTTACCAAGTCGAGATCTCAACCGGAAACGAGATATTCAAGATGGCGGCTGTTATACCGCTGGATATTGCCGTGTTGTATTGTACTTGTACTTTGTGGTCTTGTGGATCTTGAATTGAAATTTGAAAGAAAGAATCCCAGTACAAAAATTTATATCTTGAATAAACTCAACCTAATTTGATTAATAATATTAAACACATTAGCTGCCTAAATGTGTGGATTGGTTGATGTGAGTTGCATATGTTGCAGTTGGGGCTTAAGAGGTAATTAGACAAATTTTTAAATATATGATAGTAATTTGGTCTCTAATATAATCTTAGTACTCTAGAGGAACGAAAATGTGTTTAAAACCACGCCAAAACACATTCCGAATAATATAGTTATTTACCTAACAAATGCGGAAAGTGATACTTTACCGTACGCAGCGTCAGTTTTACGTCGTTAGGTCAATCCGATAAGGGCGGTAAAGGCACTTTCTTGCCCGCATGTGTTAAGTACAAAATTTTACCTATGAGTATCTACATCTTCAAAAAATGGCATTATTGAAATTTCTGAAAGAACTTTACCACACACTATGCGGTAAAGCAACTTTACCGCACATGTTGCAGTCTACTTTACAGCTGACTATGCGCTAAAGTTACACTCGTAGGTAAAATAATTTTTTGCTGTCTTTAAATTTGACATTCAGTACACACAGTATTCCAAAATATTTGAAACAGCAAATTGAATTAGAAACGTGGGTTGAAAAGGTTAAAAGGTTAAAAAAACTAAAAATAATATTTCATCCTATTCTGACGGATTGAGATTAGATTAACCCAAAACGGATCCCAAAGAAAATATACCAATGCTAATATTAAAACCAAAAAAATCACAAACTGATAAAGAAACTAAACATGATCTTCAAAGAGAAATTAATCCACTGGAATTAAATGTTTCAGTTGATAAAATCCATAATATTGTCGCGGCTTTGGATTGCCTGACAGAAATCTTGGGTTCGTTGTTCCTTTCGTTTATTCCAAAAATCAAAGTCCGATTAACACAGCAATAATTTATTCCACTTAACAAAACACTCTGTCACTAATTACTTTACTAACAAACTCAACAATTAAACTCTTTACAATCACTATTTAAACCGTATCACAGTCGAACTGAAACTAACTTGCAAGCTAAAACCCGTTCTTATATATATCCCCAAATCTATTCCTGTAAAATCTAGAACACACACGATAATGTTATTTCTCGATTATAGTAGAATAATTCGCTAGATTCGAGTATTTTCAGCGTCGATTCTTGACAGTCTGGCGGACGATATCGTGACAATATTAAAGAAGGTGGAACTGTTACTGAATCAAATTCTAGGTATAGAGAGCATTGAAAACTCAGAAAATTAAATGGGAAATATAAAGTTGGTGGTGGCCGAAATTAGGGTCCTTCTGCACAATTATTATAAGTACAAGTTGCAGGAAAAATATCTTCTCTATAATGAGTATGTCAATCAGTTCCATGTTAACCTATCTGTATCTGTATTGTTTAATAACTTCCAGGAAAATATTCAGTAATTCTACAATCAATACATTCTTTAGTTGATTGTCATTAGGTGTTAGGACTTTAGCCTACTTCGTTTAGATGCTAAAGATAACTGAATTCACACGGTGGAATCAACTCTATGTGATTGTTGAAGTCGATTTCTTCCAAAAACATTACATAGCTCTCACCATCGATAAGGAGATTTGAAGTTAACATACATGTTTTGGATTATCTACCCTTGTAATTTATCGTTTATACGCAGTGTGAGTCCGAAATAAGAAGCTGTGAAATAAGTGCGCATTTGTTATGATAAATCGAATACAGTGGGACAATCACTTTTTGCATAGGTACATGTGTCTGCAAACGTCTCGTTAAGCATCTTTCTAAAAAATCCGTTTGAGTCCCACATACAACTTTAATAGACCACTCCAACTCCAATAAAATGATCTACATCTATTTTAAAACAAGTCAGTTGAGAGATCACAAATTTCAAATAATTGACATTTCTGATAAAAATATTATTGAACCAAAATACAAAACCATTACGAGCAACAGGTTTGATACTTATAATCTAAAAATGAAGCATTCAGATTTGGATTATAAAAAGATGGAATATACCGATCCAAATAATATATTTTATGATAAAATTTCAAATGCATTTGAGGAAACAGCTTCAACAAAAAATTCTAAATTGAAATCAGAGTTGAAACCATGGTTTAAAGAAAATTTAGCAAATGTTACTTATCATACCCATCAGCAAAGATAAGCTGTTGCTCGATAACGAAAAATGCAGTGAGAAGGTGATTCAAATGTCTGATTTCTAGTACCACTGTGTACTTTTGGCACTAAAAAACATATAATTTTAAGTCCTAAACACGTTCATAGGTATTAGAAGGCGAAAAATCAGTTAATTTCAGGTCTCTGACCGCCATCTTGAATATCTCACTTCCGGTCACAATTTCGAATTGGTAACAGGCATTTTTGGATTCTGCGGGGTCAAATTACTTAAGAAATACCTTCACCTCAAAAGCAACATGATTTGCTTCTAGAACCTGATTTTTTCGGTTTATAGTCTTGTCTATTATGTAATTATGTGCAAATTCATGTTTCCTAATCTGTTAGCTTAGTCTAGACTCGACAAGCTCTCTCAGTACCAGGTTATGTGAAACATATTTACATAATTCAACTCAATTTTGTTGAAAGCATAATGAAGGACCTGCCTAGAACGGAACGTTTTCAATGTATCCTTCGGTTCTTCTGCTGTTGTTGCGTTGAGGCACTTAAGGGTATTGAATGCGCCGTTTAAAATATATTGTAACGCACGTCGATCTATACGACTACCCAACAAGTTAATGCTAATAAAAATGCGAGGTTCATCGCGATTATTCATTGGGCCACTATTGGGCCGGTTGGCCTTGGATCCTTCATGATAGCGATTTAAAATTTATCGCAAATCAGGCGGAGGAAAGAGCCATAGGGTTTGCTGCGGGTATAATAGAGACAGGCAAAATGACAAGAAGAATTAAGTAAATTTCTACAAAAAAAACTAGATGATTTTTGGGATTCTGGTTTGTGCTATTGTATTGCTAACATACATAAGATTGGCGCTAAATAAAAAAGACACTATAAATTGATTAATTTTCTCGTTTTTTTCCAGTTCAAATTACATTTTTGTAATTTTTCGAAAACTCGTTTCTATTACCGGATTTCTAAAAAGATAGCGCCATTCTTCCCTATATTATAAATCGAATGCAAAAAAGAAATTTGATATAACTTCAACTGCTAAAAAGTTACGTTGAAACTAAGAACGCAATGCATTCCTTGTTTCATTCATCTCATTCCCACTAAGGAGTATTAATAGGGGGGGAAGAATACAGTGATAGACTGCGTTAAGTGCTTCGCGCAGGAAAAAATATTTTGGCATCGAGGCGCATTCAATCCCCTTAAGTGTTTTCCGGTTTGCTAATAAGCTAACAGCTTCTTTGTTTTAAATTCTGTTTCTGACAGAATGGGGTCGTCCCGCCTTTATATTTTATTGGGTCTTCAAAATGCCTGAATACGATATAAATAATATGTAAAGTAAATGGCAAGATATATCGTTGACTCCTACTGCAATAAATCAACTACCTGGTTTAAGCCCGTTGTGTAGGTCTCAATATCTTTAAACTTCAAAAAATGGGCGCAGGAACGGACTTTTGTCTTGTACAGTCGAAGATAGGTATATGTCTTGTAGAGGGAGAATTAAAAAAAAGTAAAAAAATATAGAAAATATACTTATTTTATTATTACAAAATTCTATACAAATATGTTACCTATTCCATATTCAGTTCTGTCTCACTATCACTATCTTCATCTAAGCCTAAATTAATTATTAATGGCTAAACGCTATTACTGAGAATCAAATAAGAGTTTTCTACCTTAATCTCATGTTGGACGCAATTTTTCCAACTATCCGCAGAAATATTATTAGCTTGCTTTTTTAATAATGCCACCACATACATATTTAATGTGGGAGTTGTATTTTCTCTCCTAACATTTGATTTTATTCCATGCCATATTTGTTCAATTGGATTGAAAATGCAATAGCATGATCTCATCTGGCTAGGGTTCAATTTATATGGTAGAAATCCGGGTGTCGGCCGGTTTGCGCTCGACTGATTTGCGCTAATACCTGGAATCGACCAGTAAGCGCTCTGAGATTTTTATAATATTAAATATACCTACCTTATTACCTTCGGTCGACCGATTTGCGCTCTCTTGTAATAATTTTACATTAATACCATAACGATTTACAATAGAGACATACGATATATTCTTTCGAATTGGAAATCATCTCCTGTAAAACTGGATTTTAAAGTATGGAAAAATATTCAAATCAGTGGACTCGCTTCTTTGCCAGTCCTAAGTCTAGATGAGTGTGTAGAAACGTTATGGTATGAATGTAAAGTTATTACAAGAGAGCGCAAGTCGGTCGACCGAAGGTAATAGGGTAGGTATATATTGCTATCATAAAAATCCCAAAGCGCAAACTGGTCGATTTCAGGTAGAAGCGCAAAACGGTCGAGCGCGAACCGGCCGGATTCAGAAATCCGAATAAATATATTCATCTTGATGAGAATTTATTCGAAAAAGTCGTAAACAACCCTGATTTGATGCCTAATGCCCATATTAGTGTAAGAGCCAGTGAACTTTTCGCGTAAAAAGTTGCCGATGGACAATTTCTGGCTTAAACGATGTAATATTATTTCCCGTGATCGAAAACCATAGTCTGGCAGCATGTAGTGGGGAAGTTTGGCGTAGGCATAATAAATTAGTCATTAAAAAATTCATGAAATTCGAAATACTTGCCGATGATCAATTTTCGCGGCTTATCATTCAAAAGTGTGCCATTTACAAGGCTCTAATAATGCCAGACGATTTTCACGGGTTTGAGCCTTGCCAGACGCTCCCAAAGAGCAAAAAAAATAAATAAAGAAATCGAAATACTTATTGCCGAAACCTATTTTTTTTCACATTTAAGACAAAAAAATTGCTAATCGAACAAACCTAGTGCCAGACGGTTTTATCGAGGATTAATCCTTGCCAGACGACGCCAAAGTTCGTTATTTTACGCGTCCATGAACGCACACATACACACGACGAGTCTGGGAGGGGATAATATGCCGCGGCCACACGTCGGTGATCCCGTACGGGAGCAAATGAGAGAAAAAGACAAGTAGTGAGTGGGAGAGAAGCATTTGAATAATATATCAATGAACTAGGTATATACTCCACGTAACTGGAATGGATCCGACCGTTGTCGGATGTGGCATTTTTCTCTCTCTTAGTGTGTTCAAAGATAGCTATACAGGGTGATTTACGTAGCCTGTGCCTTAGATTGCAGATGGATTAGATGCTACTGCTAATCCACCTGCAATCTGGGCCCGTATTCTTGTACCAGGAAACAGCGTTCTCAAGAGAACGATTGCTCTGTTTTAGTCGCCCATATTGTTATTTCCATATTACTGACCAAGAAAGAGCAATCGTTCTCTTGAGAATGCTGTTCCCCGGTACGAGAATACGGGCCCAATCTTAGTCGCCCATATTGTTATTTCCATAGTACTGACAAAGACAAAGCAATCGTTCTCTTGAGAACGCCCTGGTTACGAGAATACGGGCCCTGGAAAACTTCTAATGCACGGGCTACGTGAATCACGGTGTATAGTGACGGCTTCCTTTCTCTTTCTAGTTCATGGCTGTTAGGTTTGGTATATTCCTAACCCCAAATAAAAGAAAAAGCTAGGTTTTAAGTGTGATTTTGTGTAATAATAATTTAATTTTTGCATTTCATATACGATCCACGACCCACCCATACTATGAGAGCTTATTAAGATTACGTATTACGTAACCCATTTTAGCCTATTTGAGTTACGTTATAAGTTGTCTTATCGTAGTAACTATGAAATGAACTCCTTATATCACTAGTAATTTAATAGGCTCATTAGGTAACTCATTTTTTATTTATGAATATTAAAAGTAAAACTGATACCTGATGCTGATGACAGCATTTGCTGACATCTGATTGCAGCGTTGCTTAAAGTCTTTGTTGAGAAAATAGTTTCTTTCGGCCTTGAGCTTTAATGTTACCAAATAATCTGCTGTGAAAAATCAAAACCATTTTGAATACATAAAAGAGAAACCTGAGTCGTAGATAAATTTTTGTATATCACACGTGCGGTAAGCATCAAAACATTCTGCCACCCAATCTAGCCATAGCCCGGAAACCTGACCAATCAAATTCGATGTGGCTATTTTAGGTGGCATAATGTTACTACATGCGCTGCATCAGGGGTCAGAATGTCGGGTCGATAATGGCGCTATTTAAAGGGTCAGAATGTTATTGCATGGGCTAGATTCAGGGTCAGAATGTTACATGCGATAGAGCATTAGTATTAAATTTAACAAACAATGTTTGATGTTAAAGAATCTATAACTGTATGTTGTACGTGTTATACAATTCAGAAATTTAGATTTTTTTTGTGTTCCGAATGGATTTTTTCCATGAATATATTGATTAAATTGTTAGTTTTTTGATTGAATCAGAGGAATTAAGAAAAATATCCATTTTGGATATAAGGGGTCAATAAATTTAGATTTTGCAAAATCTGAATACCTAATAATCAAAATTTAAGTAAGTTCTAAATTTTTCAAAGACTATACGTTTTTGTACAATTTCCTTCCAGCTTTATTTAAAAAAGTTTCCCATGCATTTTTCGTTTTAATTGAACTAAATCTTGACATAAATCTTCTAGAACTTTGGGCAGTAGTCAGTAGTGCCAAATTGTGTATGATTTTTCTTCATCAAATTGATAAGTGAGGCAAAAAAAAACTTCCCTAGTGTTTTCCTCTTGTTGAAGGTCGCTTAATACATGGCGATTTTCAATATTACCATCCCATATTAAACTATTATTTAGGTTGACAGTAGTGAAATTTTCAGGACCTTCATCCACATATTCAGTCATGTTTTGATTTGCAACTGCAAATGGCATATAAAAATCTTTTGACTGGACATTCTCTCGCTCTCCATAAGTTAGCTGAGCAAATAACTACCTTAATTCGACACTATAGCTTGGAGTATTCGAAGATGCTTTTTGAAAATAATGTCGTTTTCGGATAACAAGTTTGCACGATAAGTGTTTTCACTCACACTACATAGAATAAACAAACCTTGTGGGTAGTTTTATCGCATTCACCTCCATCATAAATAAATACTAAAATGTCTTCGCA